ATTAAAAAACCTTAAGTTTCAACGCTCAGAAAATTTTTTAATGAATTTTTAAGGAAACAAATGAGGCTTCAGCTAAATGCATAATGATTGCATAAAAACATGTTTTAATATACTGAGACGTTTTCCTTCTTATTATTTTCATTTTATTATCAATAAAAAAAAAATCATAAAAATTTTAAAAGTTTTAATGCGCTTGCATATAATAACTAAAAAAATTGCCATAGAATAAGATCGTATCCATTAATTTGTCTTATTGCAATCAACAATAATTTAAACATTACTTTGAATAAGATTTTGTTATTTTGCTATAAGTTTTTCATAAATATTTCAATTTTAAAAATTTGGCTGCGAAGTTTTCATTAAAGGTGTCGATTAAAAGAGTGTATAATATAGAGTTACTCTTTCATTAGTTAGACATGTTTTTTACAAAACCATGCGGTAACAATAAATTTTTTTAAATTATCAAGTAGGGGAAGTTGGGGTACACGAGACCGAGGGGTCTAGTAAATAAGAGGCATTTTCTCAAAGATTAGAATTATGTTTATCTTGATAATGTAATCATTTTATGTGCTCATATATCAGCCATCTTTATTTATAGTTGTTGCCACATAATTTTTGACTACACGTTTTTAGTTGGTAATTTTTTTTTAACTATTTAGAGTAAATTTTTTTACCTTCCTTATGTTTGTTATGGAGATAACCTTCTTATGCTTGTTATGGTGATCATGGTTGAATTAATTTTAATAGTTTAAGTTTTCATTCAGATTATTGATATTTATGCTTCCTTTTAGTAGTTTAGCTTTTTTTTTAATAACACTCATGTCCCAAGAATTTTGACTTAATTTGTTATAGTGGGGCACAGTGAATCGGGGTACAGTGAATAGGATGATACACTATGCCCCATTAATGATCTTAAAGATTAACATCAAGCATTTTTAATGAAATAAATGAAAATGAATCAATTAGTTTTGAGTTCTCAATAATAATATTTGAGTAATTTTTTAATTTTTTAATATTTTTATAAGTTTTGTTATCAATAAAATTCTTTTTTTTTCTCAACTTTTCAAATGTTTATTTTTTTGATTTTATACTAATCTAATCAATAAAAGTATGCCAAAAGTATAGTGTATAGAGTCTTTACTTCTTCAGCCTGATAGTTATTTGGATATGTCCCTATCCACTATCATTAATTCACAGCTGTATCCGTTGATTCACCTTGCCCCAGTACTGAGGCACAGTGAAAAACGGAATACAACTCACTTTAAATCTATCTGTGAGCCGTTTGATAGTAAATATTTGGGTTTTAGTAAATTCTTCTAACGAAGGACATATATCTCAATCATTTCGCTTCAAAAAAAATAAAAATACATATTTTAACTTTTGCTTAATTTAAAAAATAAAGAAGTCCGATCCACTCTGCCCCAACATCCTCCGATCCACTCTGCCCCAACCATAAAATATTATGAAAAACTTATTAAACTTATAATGTAGAAATAGTCAAATACCAGGGTCTACAGAAACCGATTTAACTCCAACAAGAACGTTATGACCACCAACTATGTACCAAGAGTATATATTAAAAAACAAATAAAGTTTAAAAAATAACAGATACCATAGATAAGCTCTAAAGATAGTGAACCAAAAGTTTATCAAGTAATGAATCCTCTTTTAGCTGCGTCTTTTTTAGTATTACTAGCAAGTTCACGTAATTTTATTTACACTTGGTTGTATTATTAAAATTGTATAAGTTATACTATGTAACTAGTTTTAAATAAAATATGACTCAAATAAGTATCAAATTTTAGTACAAATAAATCTAAATTTTTCAAATTTAGATTTATTTGTACTACCCCAAACAATATTGCCATAAGATAAATAACTATTTATGAATGCAAAATATAGTTGAGTTAGTGTAGATTTGTCTAAGATTCGTCTGGTTTTATATAAGATGCCAATACTTCTTGAGATTTTATTGCTAATATGATTTATATGAGCTCTCCAGGATAAGTTTTCATCTATTAAAATACCAAGTAATTTATTTGTGAATGAGCGCTCAATATTGATGTTATTTATATATAGCATTGGTAAGGATTTTGGAATAGATTGAAACTTTCGTTTAGAATGGAATAAGGAAAACTTAGTTTTATCAGTGTTTAAAGATAAGCTGTTAGCGAAAAGCCAGTTTGATATTTGTTCTAGTTCATTATTTGCTACTTGAAATAGAGAGATAATATTACTGTGAGAATAGAATAAAGTGGTGTCGTCTGCAAACATAATAGTAGACATAGTATTTGATGCTTTATATAGATCGTTGACATAGATTAAGAATAGCAACGGACCTAAGATGGAGCCTTGCGGAACCCCACATGATATTTTAAGTTTGTTTGTCTGAAAGCCATCATTAAGAGAAATAAACTGCTTTCGATCAGTAAAGTAACTGGGAAACCATTTATGGTATTCGTGGCTTATTCCATAATATTTTAGTTTTTCTTGCTGGCTGGTTTGCTATTAATAGAACTATTCTAATGCATAACATTTTTTTAAAAAAAAAATAATCTTTTTAAATTTTTTGACAATATGTTTGATCAATCGCAGCACATACCATTAGTTCTAAAGACAAAAATTTACATAAACACTATAGTGTATACAAATAGTACACAAATGGCAAAAATTTATATAAATGACAAAAATTACATTTACATATTATATTATATATTACATATACACTTTAGTGTATATGTAAATTTTTGTCATTAGATCTGATGGTGTCTGTTTTGATTGATGAAACATGTTGTTGAAAAATTTAAAAAGATTGTTATTTTTTTAAAAGATAGTTATTTTTTTACGCGTGGTAAGTCCGTCCGTTAAATCGAACTTACGTATCTTAAATTCAAGACATTTTAAAGATAAAAAAATTAGCTGATACGAACAAATTAACACCGAGATAAGTTTAATTATGCTATAAGGTGAGATATTTTAATAAATCCGTTAAATCGAACTTACGTATCTTAAATTCAAGACATTTTAAAGATAAAAAAATTAGCTGATACGAACAAATTAACACCGAGATAAGTTTAATTATGCTATAAGGTGAGATATTTTAATAAATACACCAACGCTAATTTAGAAGTACAATAAAAATACCTTTCATAATAATAACAATATTAAATAGAAAAATTTATTTCTTTATTGTAGTAATGCCTCATGTAATAACACCCAAGTATTTATAAGCATTTATGAATGAGAAATACTCTTCTTCAGATTATTGTGTGCGACAAACAATTAAACGAAAAGAAGAAACTGGATCATTTTACAACCGCAAGCTATTTCAAAGACCTCCCTCCACCACAAGAAATAAAGACCAGTACATACTTATTTACAAATTTCAATAAACACAATGTAAAAAAATTAGCGCTACAACGATTAAACGACGTTTGCTAGGTGTTGATCTCAGAGGTTGTGTAGCGAGAAAAAAATCACGTCTGACCAAAGTTCATAAGCAAAACTAAAGAATTGGGCCAAAGAACACAAATATTGAAATAATGATCTTTTGTTGGATGAATCAATATTTGAAACTTTTGGTAATAAACGTCGGTCTTTTGTTTGTCGTCGATCTGGAGAAAGGATACTGGATGATTGCATACTGCAAACGGTTAAACACATGGGAGGCAACATTTTGATTTCGGGTTGTTTTAGAGGAGGCCAAGTTGGAAACTGGTAAAAATCAACAAAAAAAAAAAAAAGGCAAAAGAGGTCTATTTGCATATTTTGAAGTACATGTTTTGGATAGTGGAACATAACTTGTTGGTGAAGGATTTATTTTCAAACAAGACAACTATCCAAAACATAAAGCTATAGTCGTGAAAGTTTAACGAAAAAAATCTAAGGACAGAGTACTCAGATTTCTAATACATCTGAGTACAAAGTTCACATGTCATAGTGAATAATAATACTTTTATTGTACAAAAAAAATATATACGAAAGTACCATGATAAAAAATATTTAAACTTTAAAATAGGTGACAAGGTTTTAGTGAAAAAATGCAAAAAGATAGGTCGCAAAGGTAAGCGTATGGAACTATTTTTAGCTAGATAGCTCAGTTGGTTAGAGCGTCAAACGAAAAGTTAAAACCCGGAGTGTTGTGCGATACGGATTCAAATCCTGCCACCGCCAACTCAGCACTTCAGAAGTACTTCTGTACGCAAAAATGTTGGTCAATAACGGGCGCTACTTTGGATTAGGCTTAATGACTATTTGTGGCTGTTCCAATGCTAAGCCAACAATATCTTCGAATAAAAACATTGTATAGAAAAATATAGCATGAAAATTCAAATGAATTAAAAAAAAATGAATAAATAAATAATAAAACAAAATTAAGATTAAAATTGATAAAATTGATTTCTACCGATGACCAATGCACAATGATCTCTACCAATGACTTATGCAATATATATATATATATATATATATATATATATATATATATATATATATATATATATATATATATATATATATATATATATATATATATATGTTTATATGTATATATATATATATATATATATATATATATATATATATATCATATATATATATATATATATATATATATATATATATATATATATATATATATATATATATATATATATTGCATAAGTCATTGGTAGAGGTCATTGTGCATAAGTCATCGGTAAAAGTCAATTTTATACTATATATAAAATAAATAGAACTAAAAAAAAAAAAAAAAAAAAATCCCCGCTTAAAACTCATACAAATGCACTCAAAGCATAAATAAATTCCATGATTAAAAAAAGAAAAATGTAAAGGTTTTCATTTAAACAATTTTTTAGGAGATGCAAAAGTGATACAATATATAAAAATATTTCAGCATCCCCACACCCTCCCCCTACCCCATCACCACAAAAAATTTATGGGTTCGTCACTGCATGAAAATAGGTTTTGCTAAACGTATAAACGAAAGAAATAAATAAAAAAAAAATTAATTTATGGTTATTTTATATTGTAAGTATTGTAATGTACATTTCCATTTTTCGAACAATGTTACTCCCAAACCTGTAAAAAAAAAATTAATTTTATTGCTTATAAAATGTCTACTGCGTTTTTAAATAACTTTATAGTAACTTTATAGTAAATAAACAAAAACTCAAGTTACCTTTTTATCAAAAGGCGAGTAAATTGAACAGTTTTGCGCTTTTGTTGCATTTAAATCGGTTGCATATGGTGCTGATTTTGCAAGATTTGAGGTTGCATTTACTTTTGGTCTATTTTTTTTGAACTTTTCACTTATTCTGTCGGTACTTTGAGTAAGCAGACGAGAAAGCTGCGATTTGTTTTTTGTGTGAAAGTTGCTTAAATTTGTTTCTTCAAGAGGCGGTATATACTTTTTTTTGAATATAGACTTTAGAATTTTTCCTTCATAATCAAATAGGTTTTCATCAACTCCAAATGTTTTTTCACTTTTACAATTGTTTGTTATATGTTTTGAGGTTGTCATCAACTCTTTTTTTTCAAATGATCCAAGCGAGGGTAAAATTCTTCGGTGGGATTTTGAAAAATAATGATTACTTCCTGGTAGTTGGCAATTGGTTATCAATTTCTTCGGCAATCGGCTAAGAATTTCTTTGCAGTGATGCGGTCCACTAGAATCTAATAAAACATAATTAAGATTAAAATTGATAAAATTGATTTCTACCGATGACTTATGTGCACAGTGGCCTCTACCAATGACTTATACACACTGACTTCTATTAATGATTTATAAATATTAACTTCTATTAATGAATTATACACAATAACTTCTCTCTATGACTTATATGAAGTTGAAAACCTTTAGAATCAAAACCATACATTAAACGCCCATTAAATCTGATTGAGTAATGTTGACCAGCTATTATAATCTCAACAAGTATTTTTAAAATTTAAAAATGATTACGTTATAAATAATTTAAAAAATTAAAAATGCTTTAACGGTATTTACTTTATTATTTTTATATTACTTACTTAGTTTGAATTTCAAAAAACCTCTTGCTTCAAACTCAAGATCCTTCTAAAAATAATAAAACAACATCATAGCATATATTCATATTTTAGTAGCTTACCAGCAAACATTATTTTAGTGGATTTGCATTGGACCTATATAGGCATTTTTTAGCGGTTCATTGGTGTTTTGCTCATCGATTACTTAGTGGACTATTAGTGGTAGCCGATATAAATGGCAAACCGATAACTTTCCGATATGTTAATAGTGGCTAGTCATCGGCTAGCCTTCGCTCAAAATGCCTATATAGGTTCACTGAAATTCCGCTATAGAATGTTTGGTCGGTTGTTTCGTTAATTTTTTAAACAGATTTATATATATATATATATATTATATATATATATATATATATATATATATATATATATATATATATATATATATATATATATATATATATATATATATACACAATACATTGTGTATATATTAAAAAAAGAAGATGAGTTTTATGTCAAAACATGAATACAGTTGTGTCTTCAGCAAAAACTCTAAAAGGTAGATTATTAGGAAGATCTTTAAATTAGGAGAGAGAAAACACCAGACCAACACCCAACCAACACCAGACCAACAGCAAACCAAAAAATTTTGTGGCAATTTAAAAGTTACTTTAAATAAAGGAGATTGTTATCCATCAAGCTAAACTTCAATAATGAGGTTAAAATGGAATGACTCATTAGTTTTAAAAACCTTTCCAGATACACCACACGGGACGAGCTTATGGAGATTGGCTAGTATGCCAATTTTCAAAAGCAATAGGTTATGACTTCCTCCTAATGCATGATAAAACTTTATGTTATAAAAGGTTAACAAGTCAGAGTTAGATTTAGAGGACCGAAATCCTTGTTGATTTTTAGAGAGTAACTTGTTAAACTCAATATAAGATATTAGAAGTGTCGACACTAATATAGAACAGTTTCATAAGAAAATCTTCTTTATTTATATAAGAAGGATCAGGTTTTTATGGTTATACCTTAACTAAAAATAGAGACAAATATTTAGAAAAACAGCTGGAAAAGTTTTCTTGATCTACTAAAAAATATTCAACAGTATAGATTGGAAAATTTTGTACCCAACGTTGTAACTTTGTTAAGAAGTTTTTTAACAATTTCCAGAGACAACACCACAGGGGGTCAAGGGGGTACAGACTTTTCACTTTTTTTTCATAGGTCCTTTTTTTTAATCTAGAAATTGCTAAATATAGAGGAATTTTTTAGAAATTGACACTTCAAAACCCGTTTTTTCGGGCCTGCTTGCTATCAGTGTTGCTAGTTGCTAAATGTGCTTCTCCAAAAAGTCAATAAAAAATGATATTTTTTCAAAAATAAGTGATTTAAGACTAAAATACCTTGTAATTCTATTATCCATAAACAATAAATGATGTAAATAATAACTTTGAGAGCTTTATGACTTTTCTACTAAGAAACTGAGAAAAGTGAATATATATGACGAGTACAATTGGTTAATTTAAAAATCAAAAATTAATGGTAATTTTTTTAAAAATTATTTTATGTTAGATAGGTTGGGAGCCTGCAGCCTCAGTAAGTCTTGTATTTTTATAAAATATGAGTTTATCGTTATATCAACTTATACGTTCTTTTTTATTACTGCCTAATTTAAGTATGGCATCAAATGGTAAAAATAATCCCCACCTAGAGTTTGTGTTAAATGCAATTATTTATTTATATTTATTAATTTATATAAAACAATACTTGATTGACTTAGTAAGGGCGACAAATTAGAAACCGTCCCAGGCGGCTTAAGCTCTCAGCACGCCACTAATAGATAGTCTAATGCCATTAATACATAGTCTACACCACTAATACATATTAAGTATTGCAATATGTTGCCTGAGCAAAAAATCATTCCTAAACCAAATTTATGCTAAAAAAATAAGCAAGTCATGAGTGCACTCTTTCTTTTTTCAAGGCCACTAAAAGAAAATTTTTTCTTTTGGTGGCCTTGAAACAAGAAAATTTTTCAAACACGAAAACAAATTATTATAGGGTATTATATCATATAGTGCAAAAATTTAACTATTTTTGTAGAAAAATTGACTTACAATTTATTAAACTACAGTTTATTAATCATTAACTCGGTGTAAAAAAAATAGGCTATTCAACCTGTTGTAACATAATGCAAACCTGTTATAGCATGATTCAAACTTGTTATAACATGATTCAAACCTGTTATAACATGATGCAAACCTGTTATAACATGATACAAACTTGTTATAACATGATGTAAACCTGTTATAACATGATGCAAATCTGTTATAACATGATGCAAACCTGTTATAACATGAATCAAAAAAGTAAAAAAATTAGTAAAATAAATTTACTGAGTGATTTGCAAAGCAATTAACTTGGCTTTATTTATATTACCAAACATGTAAAGTTTTTAATAATTTATCACTATAGTTTGTTGATGGGAACCAATTAAAGATAAAGAAATTTGACTTGTTTTTTATATTAACGACATTAAAGTAGACGTATACACCAAATCTAATCCGAATAACACATTTTATTGTGAAAAACAAACTTTGTCAGTTTATTTCACAAAAAGAATTATTTCATAAATACATTTATGATTGTTTTAAAAGAAAATTAAAAAAAAAATTTTGAATGGCAAAATAAAATCTAAGTTAAATAATTTTCTTAATTAGAGTTTAACGGTTCCCGAAGGATTTTTAAAATCTCAACGCAAATCAAATGTCACGGCAACCCTCATATATGGAAACAAAGTCAAAGCTTATAACTACAAGCTGGTGTCTTTTACCTCTTGTGCAAAGTGACGAAGAGAATTGTTATAACTGTGCGCAATCTAACTTTAAAGTCTCGACATGGATTTGTACATCACAAAGGTTGCCTAACAAATCTGATTGAACCTCGCAACGTTTTATCGGAAGCAGTTTACTGTGGACAGCTAGTTGACACAATTTTTATCAATTTTACCAAAATATTTAACACAGTACCATACAATGACATCTTTATAAGATTCATGTCTATAACATTCAAAGCCAGCTATGAAACTGAACTAATAGACAGCAGTATATCGTAATTGAAGAGTAAATATCCGAGTGGAAAAGGTTGACAAGAGGCGTCTCTAAATAACCAACAACCTTAAAGTCAAAGTACAAGTAGATTGTCTTTAAAAGTCGGTGTGGAAGCTCTCTAGCTACGAAACAAATGTACCAGCTATGCATTAAACCACATTTGGAGTTTTGTGTGCAAGTTTGTTCAACCCATCTCAAATCAGAAATTGGTTTATTCAAACGCGTCCGACAACGCGCATTATTGTTAGTTAAACATTATAATACATCTCATTATTTAAATAGGTTGAATTTTATATTTTACAACTACAGCTTTCTTAATTAAACTTAGCATTTAATTTAAGAAAAATTTAACTGTTTAAAGCCCCACCTAATCAAAGGTTATCCAAAAATTCAACAAAGTTTTACAAACCATGTTGCAAACCGTTAGAATAAATTAGAGCAGGATGTACTTTATGCACCTACAATAAATTTTTTTAAAAATAATTTTATGATACAATCGTCAGCATAGGATGTCTGGTGTTGCTTTTCTCCATCAGTATTAATTTTTTATGCAAAATTTTTATTGATTACTTAAATCTTTTTGTTTCAGCTGCAGTTCCGCTAGATGGAAGAGCTTGCTTTACAAGCTTTCGAACACTCAGATTCTAATTGCAAAAAAACCACACTAAATTATTGTCGCCCTAAAGCCGTTGCTTTAATTTTACCAAAATATCAACCTTGTGATATGTCTTGGTTATAAAACAGAATATTTGGCAAAGCAAATGATGATAACAAAATCACGATGAACCTAGAAATGCAGTTTTTTCATAAGATCCCCAAACATAAGCTTGAAGTTAATATCTTTAACGTTTCGCATTAATATTTTATTCAATAAAATAATTTAGAATTGGCATTTTGAATATTGTTTCTTAAGATTCTCATTCATCTGGTTGAAAAATCAAGAACTGGTAAAAATTAAACCTTGTAAAATAGAAGACAACTTTTTTTTTTTTTTTTCTCGTTTGTTATTTTGGTGTCACAAGAAATCCTTAGGGTCTTGTCACAGAGCACCGAGGAAGTGCATTTAACCAGAAAAATCACGCCTCCTTCCTTACCAAGACGCGAACCTGGATCTTCTGCTTATAAAGCAAGCGCTCTAACCACTGCGCCACGGCCGCACAAATTTATGGAAGATGTTTCGCATCTTAATAGTTTAAAGGAGTCTTTGTTTTTCATTTCAGGAAATATTTTATACTTTCTCAACAAATTATAACCAAAGGGTTTGTAGTCTTTTTTCCAATCTATATGCATACTAATTCGAATTTTCAACACAATAACAGTATCTGTCGCAGAAGATGAACAATCTTTAAGTAAACTAAAGTTTATAAAAAGACGGCAGGACCACTATAGAACGACACACATATTGAAAATGAATTAGGTACCTCTAAGTCGTAAAATTAGATAATAATAATAACGGTTTTTGCTTATAAAAAACCAAGAAAAGACGTTATTAATTTTAAAGAATCTTTTTAATAATCAGTGAAGCTTAAAAGAGTTATTTAAATCAAATGCGTTTCATGAAACGTACCAGATGCGTTTCGTGAAAATATGGATGTAAAGTAAAAGTATTATAAATAAAAACACGATCATTAACTTGAATAAATAGAACTTGAAAAACTGTATATGCTTTTAATTTAAGTTTTTAAAAAAAAAAACATGCATACTTATAAGGGCGCTTTTCTGCTTTGCTCCGGGCGTCATGAACGCCCTATATATATATATATATATATATATATATATATATATATATATATATATATATATATATATATATATATATATATATATATATATATATATATATATATATATATATATATATATATATATATATATATATATATATATATATATGTATATATATATATATATATATATTTATTATATATATATTTATTATATATATATATATATATATATATATATATATATATATATATATATATATATATATATATATATATATATATATATATATATATAACAGGAAGTTTTTTAAAATATATAAGAGAAAGTTTCCACCATCTTGGTCAACAATCCTCTTTTCTACTATGTATGTTATTCATATATTCAGCATTAATTATTCAATATAAATTGCAAAGATTCTTACACAATTTATATCATCATGGTGCTTTTCTTTTTCTTTGACACCTTAAAAAGAATTTAGGAAATAAATAGATTATTAAAAATTTCAAAAATTTGTCGATGAGTAATAGTCTATTATAACTAGATATAAATAGAGAGCAATAATTTATGTTTCTTTGAGAATCTCAACGAAAATATTATCTGGAAAAAACATATATTCAGCATTAAAATTTTCTTATTAAGAAATATATATTTCATATGATAAGAAGTGAATTTCTTGTTTTAAGAAATAAATTTTTAAACTATGGACAATGAGTTTACAATTTTGATGTGTACGCGCAATAGAAGGTAAAATTTCAAAAACATTTTTAAACAAAGCCGAACATTTATTTCAAATTTTTTAAAAAACCTTATATTTCTCCCACACACATTGTTACTTAAACTATCGGCATTTTAAACAAAGCCGAACATTTACTTCATATTTTTTATTATGAAGTAAATGTTCGGCTTTATAACTACGCAAATATCGCTTGGTGCAGCTCTAATGTATCTCTCTAATGTATCTAAAATTAGAAAACTGTTAAATAGACAAAAATATGGTGTTGGAGTTATTTCAAATACATGTCGCTTACATACTCTCAAGATTTAAAAATAATAACGAATATTTTCCAGTTGAACTTTAAGTTTTTATTTATATAATAAACTTGAGAAAAAAAAAAAATAATAATAATAATAATACTTAATACATTTTTCGATAAAATAATTACTTCTAAAATTATTAGATTATCAAATTCTCTATTGCCACTAGATGTTCTAAATTAAGAAACCCTTTTTGAAAAATGAACTAAAAAGTTTTTGAATTTTTCTATGAACCAATGATGTCATCGAATTAAACATTTTTAACATTTTTTTTTTTAATTTAAAATTTTCTTCAAGTTAAATTATTAATTTATATATTTTCAATCAAGTTTTAAACGAAATAATCAAATTAGATATTTAATTGAGCAAGATGGCGAACGGAGCAAGATGAATTTACAATACTTTTTTAAACACTGTTAACGTAACTTTATGAGCATAAATTTTTTACGCCTAAAAATAAATACCTTGGTTTCAGTTATTGCTAATTGATGGTGTCCTTCGGGTGTTATTTATATAGGAATATTTTTTTGTGATGCGTGTTTGTTTTGTGTTCTTTATTTAAAGTAGTTGGAAGTTTTTATAAGTTTATAAAATTAGAGGCCAGAAACGCATAATAAGTCATCTACTCCCGGTCACATTCCAGATGACAAATTTATGAATTTTACATTTTAATTTTTATTACAAATTTTTCTATTTGCCAACTGATAAAACGAACATACTGAAAGAGTTGTTGCTTCATAACTGATAGTTGTGCAATAAATCAGGGTTTTCAAAACGTTCGTGATCTTGCCCCGTCTTCCCCTTACTATTAATGTTATAGTTAAATCGTAATATATATAACATTAATTTTATTTTTTTCATTTTAATATTTGACACGCTTTACAATAAAAGTGTAACATGACAGCTTACAGGGCGTGGTTATAAAATAAATATCATCTTCTTTTTACCTAAATCATGTATTCGTTATTTGTATTACACGAAATTGTTTGTATTTTTTACTGACAAAACATAACCAACAAAAAAAAAAAAAAAAAATGTATAACAAACCTTGCATTTTTGAAACTTCATCTGATTCATTTGTTATATAATCATTTGTCAACTAAAATAAGTAATATATATTATACTACTTATAGCTTTAAATTCTTTTGAACATATAAAAAAAAAAATATTACCGTTTCTGATGACGTTTTATCTCTTTTTTGTGAATAGCCTCTCTTCCATGTTTTTGTCGGAAATTTATCTAATTAAATTTTTTATAAAATAATTAAATTAAATTTTGTACATATGATGTAAAACGTACCTCATCCCAGTACGCACAAGACAAGTCTAAGACGTCTAAAACATGTATTTTAGACGTGTTTCAGACGTCTAAAACGTAGTAATTCTTACACGAATTACTTTTAGACGTCTGAAACACGTCTTGCGCCCAATGGAATACTACATTATATCATATTGTTATGCGCTCTTACAGATGATAAATTATTATTTGTTTTATTATATCTATATGTTTTTTATCAAATACAAAATTGAAGTAAGTATTTCTGATCGTGTACATCAATTTTATATTTGTATTAATTTCAATAAACTATTTATACTACGCACACACAATTTATATAGCAGGAGTTTTAAAAACTCAATAAAAAAAGCATCAAATCTGACTAATTAAAAATTGATTGGGATGATGGTATAAAGACCAGTAATACTAAATCTTGTTTCCAAACGTTTGTTACATACCCTAACTGTTTACAAGATAGTAGAATATAACTGACTTGAAGCTTATCTCTTAAAATTTAAATCTTTTTTTTTTTACAAGTGTTGCTCATAAACTCAAATTTCAATATTCATTCGTCCTTCGTCAACTATTATAAGGATCTTAAATACACGTTCGTGAAAGCATAAATTTATGTGAAAGCATAAATTTATGTGAAAGCATAAATTCATGTGAAAGCATAAATTTATGTAAAAGCATAAATTTATGTTAAAGCATAAATTCGGATTTAAATAGTTCACCAGTTAAATGCTACCCCAATATGTCTTAACACCGAAAAAAATAAACGAATACTTTTTTTTTATCTGCGAAAAAAATTTATTTCTACATCAATGTTGAAATTAAAATCAAAATTAATATCAAACGGCTATATACTTCGAGGTTTACTAAATACCTTGGTGTATTGATTGATTGCAATACTTCATGGTATTTTCACATTGATAAGCTAAGGAAGAAACTAAATCGAGCTATACTTTCAATAATTCGTCATTATATAACTAATATTACTCTTAAGAAAATTTAATCCTTTGTTCTCGTTTTATCTTAGTTACTGTTGTCAAGTTTGAGGTCAAATTCGAAATTTGAAATCACATCAAAAAGTTGCTATCTTATCATTAATTATCAATTAAAATAATAAACTTTCATTTTTTTAATTAGATCCATCAGAGCCCTTAAAAAATATTCTGCCAATAATAAAACTTACTTATCTTCTTTTGTTTTTTAAATTTTGACTCCTTGACATTATTATCTCTTGTTATTAAAATACACTTTAAATTTTCGTACTATTGTTACTACAATTATTATCAGTGCATTTTTGTTTGTTTATTTTTTCCGCGTATTATTATTACCTGCAATTTATGATTTCTAACTCTTTATTTTTTTAATGTATGTTCTATGTGCTTATTATTAGTCATATTATATTTTTAAATTGATGTCACGCCTTCAGTAGGAGTGAAACCTTTGATCAGACTTCGGAGTGACACCTTTATAAAAAATCTTTATAAATCATGAACTTGTTATTATAATTACTATATTATTTGCTATTATTATTTAAACTTTTATTCATTTAATGTTGTAATTGTAATTTAATACTGTTATCATTATAATTTGTATTACTTTTAATTAATCTTAAAAGAAGTAAAATTTTATAAAAAATTTTAAAATAATAAAAACAATTTATGGAAACACAAATTAAAAAAGTTTATTTAAAAAAAACTTTGAAAATATGTACTTTTTATTTTTTGTTAAAAACTGATTTTAAGTTTTTAAGCCATGATATTTAAGCTATAAAGTAATCATTATATAAAATGATTATTATTTTTAAAATTTTTTGAAATTTCACTTCTTTTGAGACCCAACATGATACGCTTTTGAAGAACTTTTTTTTTCAAAATATTAGAAACCCGTTTGATGTTTAAGAGTTTTGAGCGACCCCTAAAAACTTTTTTTATTCAAAATTTTTTTTAATTTAGTGTTAATTTATTATATAGAACACATTTAGATGGTGGTAGCAGACAATTTTAAAAAAAGATGTGTTTTTGGAGGCACTCTAATATATACATATATATATATATATATATATATATATATATATATATATATATATATATATATATATATATATATATATATATATATATATATATATATATATATATATATATATATATATATATATATATATATATATATATATATATATATATATATATATATATATATATATATATATATATATATATACATATATATATATATATATGTATATATATATATATATATATATATATATATATTATATATATATATATATATATATATATATATATATATATATATATATATATATATATATATATGAATTGCTTACGATGACCAGTTTAGTCACACTTAAAATCATTTTAAATGTTTTGATAAGATGTAAAAGTTAAGATACACAGGAATGGATCAAAAAGTAAAACAAAGCAACAAAGCAACAAAGTAGCAAATAGGATGGCTCCATTATCAGTAAAGAGAAACAGCAAGGAGATTAAAATTTTCAAAGAATTGTGTCAGAAATTTTAATTGAAAACATTAAAAACGACAGGTGGCATCTAATATCATACAGTGTCCGGAAAGTTAAAAAGAATTGCGGACCTCAAAAACAGTCTTATATTTAGTCATGTTAGAACCAATCCAAGGTTAGATTATTGTAAAATTACATTCAACAAGACCCGTGAAAAACAAGTTTTTTCAAATACACTTAGAAAAGTTTTATTTACATTTGTGATGTAAATAAAACTTTTTGATGCGACAGTGGTTCTAAGTAAGTACTACTTTGGAATATTGAAGTTGCTGAAAGCTAATTATCGATCTTTTTTTATTGTTAATAATTAAATATATTTCTTGAATAAAACCATAACTTCTGTGTTTCCAAATAATACCAAGGCTTATTTGTAAATTATTTTAGATTTTTCCCATGTCAGGGCCGACGACACGGGTTTCGAAGTGGGTGCGGGGCACAATCGACAATTCTTGAAAAAAAGTCGTCTGTATCCAGAATTTTCTTATATTTAAAGAAAAAAAAAGGTCCTTTAGAAAAAAAGTGGGGGCTCTTGGCCCCCTCCCCTGTGTTGTTGGTCCTGCATGAGTTACATGGTAGAAGATCCTAATGATCTTATCGCCAGAACCTTTTTTCAAAAGCAACATGTATTACAATACCAGAGAGAAAAAACTTATAATATAAATATACAAATTCATAAAATTTCATTTTATATCGTATAGCTACGTTAACAAAAGTATTCAAAAATATTTTCAATTGAGAGAATGAAATTTTGTAATTAATTTTTGAAGACTGGAAAAGTAATCGACAAATCAAAATTTAGTAAAACAATCCTATTCCAGAGATATGGTGCTTGATATGAAATACAAAATTGATTAAATCTTGTTTTACAAAGCGGTTTATTTACAAAATCATTATTTCTTAAGGTGTATTTGTTTATGGGTTTCGAAATAAATAAATCAATTAAAACTAAATCGTTTTTGTATGTGCTGTAGTATACAGTATCAAAAGCTTTAGATAAATCAATAAGGTTAATTGAGAATTTTTAAAAGAATCGGAGATTTTGCATGTTAAGTTATCTTTTTAAACCCAATTGATTTTTGTATAATAGATTATTTTTATTGAAATAATTGAACATTCTGTTATACATAATTTTTTCCAAAATTTTTGATAAGGTGGAAAGGACAAATAGAAAGGATAGAAAAAGGATGGTAATTTTTAATAATAGTTCTGTCACCTTTTTTTTTCTTTAAAAAAAAAAAAAAAAAAAAATTTTGTTTTAAAATCATAACTAGTTTATGCATTATGTATATAAAAAAATTGTATAAAAACAGATTATAGAATTTTTATACGTTGTTTTACTATTCTTAAAAATTAATGTTATCTGGATGTATTCTGAAGGTGTTAACTTTATCAAATGTACAAATTAATCTGTACATTAAATTACTTTCCCAGGTTCAGTAAAAATAAGCCCATATTATGCCTGTAATTATATTTTCTACAACTGCAAAACTGATATTTATTGAATATTTCTAAACTTAATATAATGGTCGAGCTTTTTGCATAACTTGCATAATTTATCTAAACTTAGTATGATAGTCGGGCTTTTTGCATAAATTGTGTTTTTTTTTAAATTGGTTTTATTAAAGTTATAAATGCATTTACAAGTACAATCTAAAACAATAAACAAATAAAATATTACCTTCATTTTCGTTTTCAAATGAAAAACTCATCTTTGATGATCTTTTAAAATCTGTTTGTTTTCTAAATCAAAAACTTATTTATATATTTTATGTATGTATTTTTATATCAAGTAATAAGAATACTATGCAGGATTTACAAATTATTGAAGATAAGATATTGCACTTTTAGATACAAATATGGTTGTAAAATCGTTGCAGTTTTAGATCTAATAATGTAACGAGTACAAGCTTGACTAAGCTACGTAAAACAAAAGTATTGTTTAAAAAAAACAAACATGCTTTAGACAAGTACGAGTTTTAAGTTATAAAATTTTAGTTCAACATTTATAAAGTGATGCATATCTTTATATTAGAAATTTCAAATAAAAAAGGGTTGGCATGAGTATAACAGTCTTTGAAATATATGAAAAAATTTGAATATATGAAATAAATAATTATCAAAAACCTAAATTTTATCCAAGGTATACTTATGCATTATTAACAACTCCCTCAACAACTCTGGAAAACTTTTTAAGTAAATTTTTAAAAATCTAAATGAAAAGTATTCTTTAAGAACAAATTATTGTGGCGCATTTAAATTACCTAAAAAAGTTAATTAATATACAGAATATTTTATAACATATATTTTTTTTAATTTTCTTTTCTTTATTTTACATTTATTATTTTAGTTGATTTATTAACCTTTATACATTATATAAATAAAACAAAAACAAACGAGTAATAAAAATAAAAACTTAAGAATAAAAACAAATAAAAAATAAAAACTTAAGAAACTCAAAGAAGATCATAAAGTCTTGCCGCAGAAAACCGCTTAGGTTTGAAACTAAACTTTTAATATTAGGCTTATTTTGGGTGTGTTATGGTGTTTGGGGTGCTTGTAATAATTCACTGTTTTTTTTTTTTTTTTTCATTGTAAGTTATAAAAAGTTGATGCCTGTGAATATATGTTCATGTCCATAATTTTTAATTAAATTATTTTCTATTTTTGTTTTTGTACCTTTATACCAGATTTTCATGCACTTTAGATATAAATCAATCGTTTTTTGTAGTTGGTGCACTTCAATTTTCAAATTTTCTTTTCTTTTTGTATAATAGACATTTTAGCATTTATACCGAAAATCTAAGCTAAAAAACTATTTTCAGAAAGACATTTTAATTTTAAAACAAAAATATTAAACTCGTTTCATTTTCAAATAAACTTTAAAGTTCTGCCAATGCAAAAGAGGTTGAGAGGAAGACTTCCGATTTAAAATAAAAAATATTTTTTAAAGAAACTCTGAAAATAAAACCTTTAGTTAATGATATGGTAAGGAGCCTTTTGTTTTAAAATAGCCCCATGCCCTAAAAAAAGTATAAGTCCGCCACTTTTTTGCTGAGTTTTGTCGAATGATTTCCATAATTTGTTTCTTATCTTTAAAGTTATTCAAACGGCTTGTCGTCTTTATTTATCTCTTAAGTCTAAAATACTCAGAGATAATAATAAACTTTTTATAACTAAAAAATTACGAAAAGCAGTTATGCTCCTCTCTACCTTATAAAAATTCCTTAGTGATAAATCTGATTTTATCTGCGCTAATGCACAAAAAACAAAGAAAAAGGGTGGTAAATTTGAACTGTAAACTAAAGAAAATTTACTTTAGACAAATTAACACTGTCTCGGTTTCAGATACATCTCTCTGGAAGTCCGGAAATTAGTTGGTTTAAACTCTAAAGTTACTAATCCAGATAAGTTCCAATTTCTTTTAGTTGGCTTAAAAAGCGCCAAAAAACTATCGTTAAAAATAGGTAATAGTTTTCGCCTCCGATAAGGTAAAACTACTTGGTATAGTAATTGTAAAAGATCTAAAATTTGGAGATCACATTTTTCAGTAAAGCTAATGGTTAATGCTTTGCGCTTTTACACATAAGAAACTTTTTATCCCCATCTATAATATATATTTTAAACTATCTATAAAAATATTATATTTAAAAATTATCTACTAACGCATACTTTATTTATCTGGAAAGGTCTAAAGTCTTTAATTATATACATTATAGTCAATTATATTATAAAAAAGTAATTATAAAGATTTACAGCATTTATAGATTTTAATAACGATAATTTAAATTTATTCTTTTTCTTAAATGAGAGGGAAAAAAAAGTAATATTCTTTAAATTTGAATTTTTGATATTATATATATACTATCTTATGATTTTAAAAGTGTTTCTTTTTTCTTCTTTTTTTTAATTTTTGTCTAATGAATAACTTTAAATATATATATATATATATATATATATATATATATATATATATATATATATATATATATATATATATATATATATAGAGTATTAAATGACCGTAAGTTAACCATGTTGTTGTGATTAAATTACTTGCTTGACTTTTCCTAAAAATAACTTTGACTCTATTAAACTATTTTGCATTTTATATAAACTTCTTTATATAAAACATTTTGCATTTTTCTCTTATTTTTAATTTTAGTTACAACGTATTTACATAAATGTCTCGAAAAAACAAGGGGGTTGGTGATAAGATAAACCTGTCTTCTTCTCGTCTTTGCCATCTTTATATAAAGAGGAAAGCGGGGCAAGATAGCGAACGTTTTGAAAGCCCTAAGTTATTGCAAAAGTATCAGTCATGAAGCAGTAATACTTTGTCAGTATGTTCATTTTATCTTAACGATTCATTGCCTGCATGAGTTTTCAGTTTGCAAGTAGAAAAATTTGAAATAAAAAGTAAAATAAAAAGCTCATAAATATGTCATCTGGTCACGTGACCGGTGCCAGACAACTTATGCGATTTTTGACTCCAATTTTATAAAAATTTTATAAAACTATTAACTAATCTAACTCAAAAAGCACAAAATAAACACGCGTCACAAAAATATATTCCTAAAAATGTTACACCCAAAGGATACCATTCATTATTTAATTTTTTTTTAATTTACTTATTACAGTAATCAATACAACTTCTTGATTTAATTGATGAAAGGAAGCACATCAGGCTTTCCTATGCTGACAATGGACATTGCTGCAGCCGAAGCAGCATTTTAAACGTGTTTTTTAAAAAAGTGCACAGTGGGTGCATCAACTCATTTGTTCCATCGGTTAGTAACTCGGTTTGTAAAGAAGTGCTGACGTTCTGAATTTCTTTTGATCAGTTGTGGTTTTAAACATCGGCTGTTTCTTCTCAGATTATATCGTGAATTTAACAAAAAAGGCTGGGCTTGTGGTATGTAAAAAATATTGGGAATTATGAATAGCCGAAAATATTATGAATTATGAATAGCCAAAAGCGAGATATTTTTTTAAGCGCAAAAAGTAAACTTATATGTATAAAATTGCGTGGATAATATTTAAAAAAAACGATTGGCCTTTTGAAATACAGATTTGTTTTCACCCATTATTAAGTTTTTTGTTGAGGTGCTATATGAAAAGCCCCATTCGCCATCTCACCCCGAACTTGTAAATGTTTGTACGGCTAAATGAATGAATCAAATAAATAAAATAAAAAAATCCATAATAAGTCTATTTTGCTGTTTAATGCTTTTATTTTTCCTGACTTTTCTTATTGTCCTCTAATTTGTATGTTTTGTTCAAAAAAGACGACAAACTAATAAATAGAACTTATAAAAAAGCTCTAAATATAGTCTATGGAAGATTTGATTTGTCTCTGGATGATTTTTTTAGTCCAAGAATTCATCTTAGAAATTTGAGATTTCTTCTGATGGAAACTTTTAAATCCATTAATTGTCCAAATCCAATATTTCTGAAAAATCTTTTCACTATAAAAAATCTTACGTATAAACTCCGTTCTTGCAAAAAACTGGTTCTATATACTAAAGGCTCCATATATAATAAAACATGCTGTACGTTATATTGAGCCACCTCGCTTTGGAGCACTCTAAATAACGAGACCATGTCCGCAAAAAGTCTTCAAGATGTTCAAAAAACATATCAAGAATTGGTATGGTAATAATCGTGTATGCAAAATATTTCGTTTTTAAAATTTTGTTAGAATTTATATTGACTTATATCTTTAGCAATGATTGTATTATTATCTTTTTTCGAAAAAATTGTAAATTTTCATGACATTTATATTTGTGTGATTACTGTTAAGTTAAATGTGTTGATTTATATTTGTGTGTGTACTTTAAAGTTAAATGTGTTGATTTATATTTGTGTGTGTACTGTAAAGTTAAATGTGTTGATTTATATTTGTGTGTGTACTGTAAAGTTAAATGTGTTGATTTAAGTTTTAATGTTAAAACTACCTTGTAAAATTAAATTTGAAAGTTTTAAAATTAAATTAAATTAAATTATGGTCCGTCGTCGGCTCTATGAAAAGATTGCGTGATTTTTTGTCGTCCATATATTTGGTTCTATCGGGTTTGTTTGCTATTCATATACTTGTACTAGAGAACTATTTTGTCTTATAATCAGCCAAAAAAAAAAAAAAAAAAAAAAAAAGCCAAAGTAAAGTTTTTAATGTTTAGAAATAATGTCACAATCTAAAAAATTTCTACTTAATTTCCAGAATTTCCTCAAAACATTCTATTAAAAAAATAAATAAGATATTCTTATCATTTATATTTTTATATCATTCTTAATTTCTTAATATGATAAAAATAACTATTCTTAATTTCGTTCAATTTTTTTGTTGGTAGCACACTCTTACATAAAAATATTATTTCAAGTTTATTTTACATTTTAGCTTTTAAAAAAATAAACGTATTTAATATAAACGAAGTGATTTACAATTAAAAAACGCAAAACGAATATCTTTTAAAATAACTTTTGTTCATGAATGTATATAAAACAAATAGCGAAAATAACATCTTACATACGACATTTGTCTTATATATATTCGTGAACAAAAATTGTTACATCACCATGTATTAGGATGTATAATAAATATTCTTTTTTTATGTTAAATTTTGTAATAATGAAAGTTAGTTTCTTACATTTCTGTAATTGAGCAGTTTTGCTGATGTTTTGTTTTAGGTGGTGTATTGTGCTGATGATAAACGATGAGGTGATCGAGGTGTTGTTTAGCAATGAGCAACTTATCGTGCTGATGTTTAGCTTAAATGGTGACAAATTTTTCTTTTTTATTTTACTCCACAAAATAATTTTTATTTGACGTCACATTGTTTTACTTATTGTAAGGCTAAAATGGTTCAATCTTTCAAATGGTTTTATAGCAAAAAAAAGACAAATAATGACACGGTCACACGATTGAAAATAAAAGAGTAACTTGTATAAATTAGTAAATTGTATAAAGTAAACTGTAAAAATGCGGAATTCAAACTATTTCTTTAAGCTTTCCTATTTTAAGAGTTTTCATATATATCTTGTTAAATATTTGAAAACTTTATGACGTCTGATTTTAAAAATACTTTTGATAAAAAATTTTGTGTCGTTTTTTTTTTTTTTTTTTTCAAAAAAAAAATAAATAAATAAAACGACAATATATAAAAAAAATATTTTTGGAATTGCGGTAAAACTTGTAAAAACGCCGATTTTATTTAGTTGATATATTTCTTTCATAGCAAATTTCGGTCAACAGATAGATCTTTCATAAAAAGCAAAAAAAAAATTCAAAATCGCTTAAAAGCAAGTGTTCTTTACCTATATTTCAAGTTTTGCAGTATGTTCTAACACACGAATTAAAGGAAACAAATTAAAATCTATGAAAGCCATTATATTAATTTTATTTGAGATAGGCAAAACAATAAAGCTACAAAAATCAATGCAAATAAAAAAAGTAAAAACTTTCACTCCATTCATCTTGGAATAACTGCTGAAATTTTTTAAAATTCATAATATGAATTTTAATTAATTTTTTTTTTTGTAGTTGCAACAAACGGGATGTAAATTTTAAATCCCATATATCGGAAATACTCGTAAACCTTCTGCAAAATACTACGGCAAATAATATATCCATATAATAAATTAAGAAATAAAAAACAAACTAAAACAAAAACTAAAAATACAACGAGTTAGAGAAAACTATAAACTTCTCAATTTTTTTAAAACTTTTTTTTAGTAGACATGTCGAGATTGTTTAGATATGTCGAGATTTTTTAGATGAATATTACGACATTTTTTTTGTCATGGATGGCATAGTTATAGCTAAAAAAGACTTGAAAATTTAGAGATTTTTCGAAGTTAAGTGGATCCGAAGTTATTGCATTTATTGTGTAGGAAAAACAGACGTTTTTTTTGACAAAAAGCCTCGTACTTAATTAAGAAAAATTGGTTGTGTAATGGCACCGAAATAAAATAAGAAAACATCAAAAATCAAGCGCAAAAATTAAAACAAAAGATACGCGAAGGAAAAAAGCATAATATACATAATTTCTAAAAAAACTTTATGTGCTATCTCTTCAAAAAAACATAAATATATTTATTACTTTACCAATTTTACGTTTGTTTATTTTATATATATATGTATATATATATATATATATATATATATATATATATATATATATATATATATATATATATATATATATATATATATATATATATATATATATATATATATATATATATATTAGAGTGCAGTGAAAAAATTAAAAGTGGAATATTTATATGTAATAGCAAAAGAAAGTTGTCTTTTGGTAAGTGTTCAAACATTGAAAAAAAAGTTTTCAAAAATTTCAATGTCTTCAGCTGCCTCATAGGGGACAAAGTTACTAAAAAGAGGTATTTTTTATGACAATTGAGTGTTTTAGTCAATTATTTTTTTTGATTAAAGATTATATTTTTTGTCAAATTCTTTCAGAAAAAACTGTAATAATTAAAAAGAATGACATATATGTTATTCTTTTTTATCTAATATGAACATATTTCGATGACCTTTTAAGATTATATATATTTCAAGGCGTGACACTTTCGTGGGGAAAAGGGGAGCGGGCTGGGATCAATGCACTAAAAAAATTTAAAATGTCAATAAGTACTACTTTAAACACCGACTTTTTAAAAATAAAAAAGGTCTTTTTGAAAATAATTAGGGGACATAGTCCTCTGCACTTCCCCTTCCCTTTCTCCGTCACTGTGGCAGATTAGCAAGTTAGTAAGTCAGCAAGTCAATAACAAGTTTAAGGGTGAAACAAAAATATCTATTCATTAAGTATTTTAACATACACAATCAAGTTTTAGAAAATCTGTCATTACACTATACCAATTTATTGGTTCGGAAGCATGATATTCTGACTTTGTGTTAAACACTGGCATAATGAGACGTGCATGTAAACGCGATCGAATAAAACCATCTCGAGTTTTTTCTCCACATACAGCCAGCGAAGCCTTATCAGCTGTCAACGGTGGCTCGGTTATTTTATTTTATTTCCAGTTGATGAGTTCTATGTAATCATATGCATCTAAGTTAAGCTTTGGTAAACTGAAAGTACGCAGTGTGTGATCTTTTTCCTGTCACGTTTTAAGAATGCGCCTTAATCCTAAATCACGAATTTGTTGGTGTTTGTTACTAACCATTGCTAGTAAGAGATTTTCTGAATGGGCAAAATAGCCGTTAAGTTGTAATACAGGATCTACTATATCTCGCATGTTTGCATGCAAAAGACAAACCAACCATTGCAACAATTTGTTATATTCTTTTTCCATCAACCTTATTGCGCTACCTTTGATTCCTGTGTTTACGGCAGTTCCGTCAGATCTAACAGCTACAAACTTTTTAACGTCAATATTTTTGATAGTTATAAAGTTGACTATAGAACTTTTTATCAAATAGACAGACGATCCAGATGATGATAAATGCCCAAGGTATTTAGACCCTGGTTCGTCTATTAAAGAGATGTGCTCTTGAGTAATACTTCGTCGATAGAACTTTAATACCCGTTTATGAGTAATCACCTTTAATACCCGTGTATGAGCATTTTTATTCACAACTCATTAAATTTTATTCAACGTAAAGATCTTTGCGTGAATGAAACAGATTGTGAGTCGTTATGCATTGAAATAATTAATTAAAAGGATAAAAACATTTTCGTAAACTCTATATATAGACAACCAGCTGGAAACTTAAAAAATTTTAAAGCTTACATTAAAAATTTTCTAATCCAAACCAGTAAAAATTGGAAACATGTATACTTAGTTAGAGATTTTAACATAAATATTTTAAATTATGCATCAAAAAATGATGCTAAATGCTTTATTGACACCATTTTGCAATATAATTTTATTCCAACAATAAATAAGGCAACAAGAATAACAAAGACATCTTCAACATTAGTCGACAACTTAATAACAAACAATTTTCACAAATCCTGCATAAGAACAGGCATAATTAAAACCGACATAAGTGATCATTTTCCTATCTTTCTAACCACTAAAAACATAACATTAAAAAGCAATTCCATAAAATCAAAAATATTGGTACATCAAATTAATGAAAACTCCTTAGCACGATTTCGCCATCTATTAAAAAATTCTGTTGATTGGAACTTAGTGTATGAAACACAAAATGCAAATAATTCTTATGAATTATTCCTCACGTTTTTTAGTAAACAATATAATAAGGCATTTCCTTTAATCGAACAAAATTTAAATTCTAAGTCTATTTTAAATCCGTGGATGACAAAAGGTTTAATCAAATCTTCAAAGAAAAAACAAAAACTATATGAAAAATATCTACGACATAAAACATATCACAATGAAATAATATACAAAAACTACAAAAATTTGTTTGTAAAAACCAAAAAATTTTCAAAAAAATCTTATTATGAAAAGCTATTGGAAAAAAGTAATGGAAATACAAAAAAAAACTTGGAATATAATAAAAGAAATAATTGGCAAAAATATTTTGATTAAAAACAATTTGCCACATAAACTGTTAATTGATGAAAAAGTTGTTTATGATAAAGAAACCATAGCTGAAAAGCTAAACAGTTTTTTTCCTGAGATTGGTCCAAATCTGGCGGCTAAAATTCCATCTAGTACCATAAAATTTGAAACATACCTCAAAACAGCAAATAATGTTATGACAGAACTAAATTTAAATATAAGTGAGTTGCATAATGCCTTTTGCTCTCTGAAAAATAACAAAGGTGCAGGCATAGATAAAATTAGCGTCAATGTAGTTAAATCAGTCTTTGATATTATTGAACCCTTATTGTTTCACATTTTTAATCTCTCATTAACGTCTGGTATTCTACCAGACAAACTTAAAATAGCCAAAATCACACCGATTTTTAAGTCAGGTGAAAAAACAAATGTTTCAAACTATAGACCTATTTCTGTATTACCTTGTTTCTCTAAATTGCTAGAACGCATTATGTACAATAGGCTTTATAATCATCTTGTATCAAATAATATTCTGTACAACAAACAATTTGGGTTTAAAAAAAATCATTCTACGGATCACGCGGTAATTGAGCTTGTAAACCATATATCAGATGCTTTTGATAAAGATTATTTTACCTTAGGAGTTTTCATTGATTTATCCAAAGCATTTGACATTGTCAATCATGAAATCCTTATAAAAAAATTAAAACTTTATGGAGTAAACAACTTAAACTTACTTTGGTTTAAAAACTACTTGACTAACAAAAAACAATGCATAACCTATGAAACAAATGAAACAAAAAAAAGCTTATAAATTGCGGGGTTCCTCAAGGATCTATCTTAGGACCATTATTGTTTCTAGTATATATAAACGACTTATTTTTAGCATCTAAAAAATTATATCTTATATTGTTTGCTGACGATTCCAATCTGTTTTATTCACACAGAGATATAAAAAATTTTATATCTCTGTGTTATATCTCTTAATTCTCTTTAAAATTTTTAATGAAGAATTATCTAAAGTAAATGAATGGTTTATAAGTAACCGCCTTTCACTAAATGTAGATAAAACTAAATTTGTCCTGTTCCACAAACCAAATAAGGTTGATAAAATTCCACTTAAACTGTCAAATCTTTTATTCAATAAAACAGATGTAAAAAGGGAATCTACTGTTAATTTTTTAGGCGTAATTCTTGATGAAAATTTGTCATGGAAGTTTCACATCCAATCTATTGAAAGTAAAATCTCTTATAATATTTCCGTACTTTATAAAACAAAACCATTTT